CTTCACCCTCCGACAGATTCATGAACAGCGACACTGCTTCCAGCAACCAGCAATGGTTGTTTTTCTTGATCTGAAAGCTGCCTTTGATTCTGTGGACCGCCAGGCACGATGGCAGTGTCTGTGTAGCAAAGGTATCCCCCATAAATTCTTGAACCTCATTACGGCGCTGTACGCCAACTCCCGCGGTCGTGTAAAGGTCTACGAGAAGCTCTCTCCTGAGTTCACCACACCAAGTGGTGTCCGACAGGGCTGTCCACTTTCACCTTTCCTCTTCAACTTCGTCATTGACAGGATCATGGAAGACCCACTACCAGCCTCTAATGCCTGTGGGTTCGAAGTGCTCCCTGGGCCTCCGCACACAGACATCGAGCACGCAGACGACACAGCTCTTCTAGGATCTGACCCCGTGGCATTGCAAACAATAATAAATAATCTAACTAATTCTGCCTCGCGGTTTGGTATGCGCTTCACACCTGCAAAGTGTAAAGTGCTACTGAAGCTACTACTACTGCTGCTACTACAGCTGACAATGATGATGATGATGATGATGATCGGCGTTTGGTGAACACCCATCATCGTTGGCTTCTGTTGTGTGCATGAACGCTCGCCAACCGTTGCTGAATTGACTGATTGACTGGCCTGGATGCTTGACACATACTCTACTGCGATTTCGGCTGAGTTTAGGTGTCCCACTAAGTTTCAGGGATCTGGCCTTCCTGACAAAAACAGAGTTCGAAATGTTCATTTTTGTTACTGAAGTTGGACGCACAGAAGCTGCGGCTGAATGTGATACACGGCGAACACAGTAGTCGGTCCTAGTGCTTGAACCGTGGATAGAGTATTGGAATTGTGGTAGGGAAAAGTAGGAGGGAGACTACGTGAAAGTGAGAGGGGCTTCCCTCGCAGAATGTGTTCAGCCTCAGAAGCTGAGCTGTTTAGTCCATTTGTTGCCCATGTATCGCTGTTCTCAATTCAAGATGGTGGGAGCAGAAATGTAGCTAACCTTTGGCCTGACAGGGTGGTATGAAGAGAGATTACGCGGTCTGCATGCTGTTGGTGCGACTCGTCTTCCGGGACATGGACCGCGTGATCCTCACTGTGCCTGGTTGGAGACGCTGCAAGGTATGGCTGCTAATTTGTCAGTAGTGTTATTGTTGTCAGTTTCTGTCCAAATTACTTGAATGAGTGTCTGGCGGCGTAGGCACTACAGAATGATCGTGGTAGACCAGCATTAAGTTCCTTCCTCGTCCACTTTGATTCGTTTTTCAAAATGATGCTTCCAAATAAATCATGGTTACATGGCAACGAAGCATCAGTGTCAAAAACTGATGTTATGCTGTTGACGGTGATGATAATGAAACCAGTTTTAGACACAATATGGACGTTACAAGCAAATAGGTGGAGAGGGCCCCCCTGAAATTAATTTTACTTAAATAATAATGAAACGATCGCCGAAAAGCACGGGATCTTAGTTAATTCACGAAACATCCTGAACGATGGGCTGAGCACTTCCAAGAGGTGAATCTCATTAACCCAGCCTCAGGAAGGACCATACGGACCCGAATGGGACGTCGATAGCAAACCACGATAGGTCTCAATGTTAATGTGCAATTTCGTCGTTTCGCTCAAACGGTTCGCATCCCGCACTCTTCAAAGAAGGTGATAAGTACTTGATGAATTTACTCCCGAATACGTGAAGTGATGAAAAAAAATACCGCAGTAGAGCTGCGCGATGTTGATTACCATGTTCGAATAGGGTACAAGAAGATTAGTGGGATCAGATCCAAACCAAATCCGGATATGACACCCCAATTATCTTAATTCCCGCCTTCAGTGCCTAGCTACCCGTCTGTACCTCCCAACATCATCGGTGAACGAAGCTGGCAGTTTTATCCACCGTACGCGGTTTTCACAGCTGAGAATGATGTTGATGATGCTTTAGGCGATACGATCGGTGTGGTAGATATGTTCGTCTATCTAGACAGCTACATACTTCCCGACAGGTATGCGGACGGCGAATTCATTTCCTTGATTGGGAAGGCCAGGGTAGTGTTTGCCAACCTCCAGCAGTTGTAGCACTCATGTGCCGTCAGGTCGAGTGTCAGTAGTAGCGTACATTGTCGCGAACCGATCTGCCTTACTTTATAAACCAGAGATGTAACTGTGCTGTAACAAGGTGATTTAGGAGGCGAATGCAACTTCTCTTTATTGCGTTTGATGTCTAAGTGCCTGAGTAGGAAACCCCAAGGAACAAGACAAGTGAAACCAGATAAAAACCGGCTATACTGGGGATGAACCAAGAAAAAAAGAGCGCTGTGGTTCAGTTGAAATTGGAAATGAAACCTTCATGAAATGTTACAAAAGATTGAATTAGTCCCCGACCGTCCTAACGAGAGACGTGTGTGCTGTGTGCAGATCTTCAAAGGCTGTTTGACCATTAGTGCCTCCGGAGCACAGTCTGTTTAGGTCATCTGATCACTACTTCCATTAGGCACGCTAAACGGTTTTCGGCAGAATGTTCCCCTGAATAAATCGGTTGGTCACACTCCGCGGGTTACCCTGTTCAGGCTATGTGCTTCGTATGTCGGTGGACTGGTTGCCGCGTAGGACCCTTTCCCCCAGTGTTGTGTCGAATTGAGATAGTTCAGAAGCAGTCAATCCGTAGCTTAACAACCAAACGTGAAAGCCCTTACCAGTCAACTCAGTCGTGTTGGTAGCTGACGCAGTCAATCCTAGCCTAAAAAACAAACGTGAAAGCCCTTACCAGTCAACTCAGTCGTGTTGGTAGCTGACGTCTCCCCGGATGGGAACCACAGATATGACTGTGTCACACATCCAGTGGCAATCCTGCGTCAAAGCTATCGAATTCATCGCGTAGCTATGATTCTATACCATACCGTACAAACATGATCGTCTGACGCCAATGAGCTGATTAGTCAATGGCTTCCAGCTCATCGCTATCGTTTACCTATTCTGCTTATCGTCGATGAACGAAATCGTAACATTTGGAACCTCTAATCTTCGATATACGGTTTTTAGCTGAATGGTTCACTGAACTGACTTATCTAGCTTATTATGGATCCAGCGGAACCCGAACGCCTGCTTTCATTTGGTCCAGATCATAAACGATAACTCCTGGTCTGTTGCCGTTTGACAATAAAACATTTATTCATCCCCTCCTACAGTTTGATTCTGTTTGCCTTTCATTTTATTTAAAGCCAACTTTCTGGTCCCTCGGAAGTGGCAGTATGATGTCGAATGGATAGTATCGATTTGCTTTTGGTCCTAACGTCTAACTTCCTTCAAGTCCTTCAAAGTTGCTCACAGTTTGTCATCAATTGTTGGTCTGTAGACAAGCTCAGGGACATACTGCACTTTTCCAGCTCATTTCAAAAGGTATGTGGTCATTTCCTGTATCTTTATATTTTTTGAATGCCTATAGCTGTTCCAAAATTTGGGAGAATCTGAAAAGGATGCTCTCACCGCATTTGTGCCGTCGTTGCAGCCACACTTTCCGCATCTGCCTTTGAAGTCATCCTCTACTCTGGAATTAGAAAACGCTGTACAATCAATTTTACATGTAATATTGTCCAGTTTTGTGCATTTTTACATCACTCGCTGATCAGACTTTACATTCACCTTTAGGGCACAGATTTTGGCCACAAGTTTTCGTCCCAAGTGTTCGGTATCTTATTCGCAATCTGTTTTGAGTTTCTTCGAGGTAGTTTGAAATGATCTAAATCAGGATCGCGATTCTTATGTCCCTACTCGTTTGACTCATAAAAATAAGAACCGCTTAGTTTAATGTGCAATCTAGCCACATACTGACCGAAAGGTCGTACCCGATCTCTGCTTCTCGATTTCCTTTGTCTAGGCAGTGCCCTGCTCTTGTGCTTCCTTCTGGTGGCACAGCAGTTAGCCAAAGTACCAGAGCAGAACGATTGTTTTCGAGCCACAAATTTACGGTAACTGTGGGCTATCTAGGTAATACATCAGTACCTCGACTGCCGTTCCAGTGAGTGCTCTGGTCATTCGCCTAGGATCTGTTTCCACTCGGCCGAGGGATGATGGTTATTTTGTTTTGAAAAACATAATATACACATTACCATGCCAGATTCATAAAGGTTACCAACGTATGCGATATGTTTTATTGCTAGTCAGGCATGTGAGTTCGATTTGACAATTCTACTCTATTGCAAGTCAACGACTAACGTGTGAACACAGCTCGTAGCCGACCATTCGCACCCAACTGCGTGTTTTAAGGGTCAGATGCTGTGCATTTGGAAAGAGCACCCTCAATGCTACCACTCAAAATCCCCTTTAAAGGTATGCGAACAAGAACTAAGCAGGATTTTGTGCAAGGTAACCATATTCAGACGCACCGATGGAACACTAAAAAAACTGATGCTGGCTGGTCACACTTCTGTTGACGACCATAATATCACACACTACTACAATTACTGTCGAACGACCGAACGCTGAATTTGAGGGCGTACTAACTAACCATGCATACTTTGATGAAAGTTTCGCGTTTTGCTTTCGGAAGCAAGCACAAACTTGTCGATTGTTTGGAAACCTAAAAAACGCCCAGCTGTAACACATTTTCGGTGCCTAGTGCGACAAAGGAAGGGTATGCTAAGTATATATATANTATATATATATATATATATATATATATATATATATATATATAAACTGGGAGAAAGCTGTGTATTCGGGTGATAGGACAGAATACAGCCGTCAAATGACATTATCACTTGCCTGTGTTCTCCACACACAATGATCACGAAGGCCACGGTTCAGTTTGGAGGAACTTGGAATCCTGGTCTGCGGAGATGCAGGGCTCTGGGAAACATGATACTTCTTGGTGAATTCGGCCAACCGACGTACTGGACCAAATTTGGTATCCTACTTGCCAAGGATCAGCGACCCACAGCTACCAGTTATAACCTTCAAGCATAAAAGCTGGCTGCTGAATAAATAGAGCATTTGTGAAGCAAGACCAAGACCTGTTTAAGTCAACTGCTATGAACACGCGGAACGTCCATGGGGTTTTCGAGGTTTTCACCGCCAGAAGGAGGGTTTAGTTGGTAATGATGTCATAAATGCCCAGCCGCATTTATTGAGCACTTTGACAATCATTCCGGGACGTGGTGGTATGAGGCGGCTGGCATGCGAACCAAATGAGTGTCCCAATAAAGCTGCCAACAGTTGTGGACATCAGGACATTCCACTTTTTGGTCCTAATTTTACTGAGTCCGTTTGATTATTAAAATTTATATTTCGGCGGAGCTTCTCGCCTTTTTCATGTGAAGTTTGTCCAGCGCGTCTCACCACGGATTTATATAATGAGTTGGAATAATCGATAAAAGCTGCTGTATCAACCGAACTGAGTAATTGTTTGCTCATTCATGGACATTCCGTGATTTCAATTCATTTTCTGTGTTCGCCTCATCCACTCACTCGAGTGCTGACCGTTTGAAGTGTGAACGATGCTGTTCAGGTATTGTGTTTACTTTGATCGCAGTCGTCGTTCCAGTTGGATGTTAGCTTCAGAGCCCTAAAAGCATGAAGCTGAATCAGCCGATCCACACTGCTGCTAGTTCAAGAAAGCCTGTCGATGATATTGCACACAAAGTGCATTAATTTATCTATGGATCAGAGCATGAGTGCTGTGATATTGTCCATAAACTACCATGATCACGCTTTTGTCGGTTGCAGCCATTCGTCTTAATTCCCATGATCTGTTTCCTTAAAATGTTTCCATAACTTTCGAGGCTTCTTAAATCTACTTTTATGAGTGAGGATTCGGTCATATTGATTTATAACTGAAACCCACGAAATGATTTGTCGCGTGTGGAATATGTGGTCTCATTAAAACTCCTCGACACCACCTGAGATTTTCGTGACAACCCCTTCGGGTGAAGCGCGTCCATTGGGTGTATGGTGAACACCAAGCTCATCGGTATTTCAAAATAGGTCGAAAGTGACCTCTTCAACACACTATATTTTGTGCATTAATTAACCGGTGCGTCTACCCTTTGTTGTAGCGTACTGATTTATATAATTCAGACTGAGATGCTGTTACAAAACTTGCACTCATCGCTGCAAAATTATACACCACGCAAACTGCGTACGAGGTTTTGTTCAGATCAATCTTTTCTCTCTGATTAGCACTGCATCGCTGCTTTTTGATTAGTGAAGTACTCATATCTTCTGTCCCAGATGATTCGTATTCTCTCCTTTCCAAAAGGTCCTGAAAGAAAACACTCACCTTACACAGAATCAACGTGACTGCATTTTCGAATTTTGTTTGGATGAAAGTTCGGAGGTAACTTATTAATGTTTTAACGTTTACCATGTCTTAGGCCATTCGATTTCAGTCGACCCCCACGGAGCTGTTCGGTTGGACAACTGAGCTGGCCAATAGTGTGGAATCCCATCTCTTTATTTCGCACCTGGTCGAACTGAATACTCAGGATCCCGAGAAACTGTTGTTATTTCTTGACTCTTCTTTCGTAACTGACCCTGAGTACCTGACCGAATTAATTATTCGCACTCTGGAACATCTGACCTACACCTTTTCGCTTCAGAATGAAGCAGTGGCCAAAACGTTGCTCCACTGGCTCTCAACCGCCGTGCTTCGCTCGAAATCGATGTGAGTTTGCTGATATTCCATTTCTATACTTTCATGGATTCGTGCAATGCACAACTCAGGAAGATTCCTACTTTCGTGTATATTACAGACCTACTGATTATGTATTGCTCCATAATCGCGACATTTCTGGAGCGAACTGTTTTTTTTCTATTAGAATCTCACTAGTGTTCTCTTACGGAGTGAGCACTGATCATACATCACCCACGACAAACTTTTAGCCAAAGCAGATGTACGACGGGTACTACCAATGGACAAGTCGAGTCTAATTAAATTCAGCCTATTTCTGCATCGCATCTTAACCGAAACTGGATCTACGTCGGCTGCCACTTAGTTCTATGTTCAGCGTAAAGGTTGGTGTCATTTCATGGGCCAAGTTCATGTACTTGACAGCACTCTGGCTGGGACGGACTTCGTTTTCGAATTCATACTAGAGCTGTCAAGATCCTACTTATCTCTTGCTAACAGATGGGTCATGCAACCAGCTAGCCTAATCATTCTTCCCACGCTATCACATACGAAGAATATATTCAGTTAATTTCTGTTTTTGTTGGTATTTGCGCCCGACGGGGGATAATTGTAAAACCATAACGCTTTAACTTTGGTCAGGGAGTGGCTTAGCAACTTGCATCCAAATCATTATTCCATCTTCCAATCAAATCCTGAACGATATGATGTCACGTTTCCAACCTACAGCGTAAACAGCTTAGGACATCTCGCCCACTATTTTTGAGGCTGTCACAATCCAGTGTTCTTCATCATCCTCACCAATGACAAACACTAACGAAGAGGCTTATTGCTTTACTGCCGTGCAACTGTATCAATTTGAATAAAGTCCTACAGTGGAGAGAAACGAAATGGGACAAGGAGAGGCACCAAGCACGGACGCGCCATAAACACCTGACTTGTATTACTCCACAACGTTCAGTCAGCCAGCACTAACATCGGTTGGCCAACTTACTTTCTGGTGTCTTTAGCAAGGTATAGGGAGTTCTCGAAATCGGACAGTACTTGCAAACCCAGACAACCTTCATTCCCTTTCGCCAGATCACATTTCACCCAGTCTTAGGTTTTCACCACTCACAATTTAGCGCGGAGGGCAACACTTTTCATGGTCGACGACAACTCGGTGTGGGTAGCACATAACTTGGACAACTTTGTTTTCGGTGTTGTATGCAGTTCTCAAATAAAGTGACTACTGCCTCACCAAACACCTGCTTCCTGACCACCTCAATGCCAGTTCCTTGGTGCCAAACGATTTCAGCCATAGTTCCGAGAATTTTTGTTGATCCTCTATCTGTAATTGCGGGACGAAGACGACCAAACCATACGTTACTTCCTCTCTACCCAACACGGTAGTGAAGCATCGTTGTTGAACACTGTCATAGTGTCGATGATGATGATTACCCAACAATTTGATTTTACTTCACTCTACTGGGAATTGTTCTATGCGCACTAACCATTTTGTGTTTTCATGTCCCCGGAACACTCATCGCTGTTCCTGTTCAATGCCCGTCATAGCGTTAGCGCCTTGGTGCAAGAGTATTATTGTGGATCACAGTGCCATTCACATTATTTGTGTCGGACAATGTGATCCGGAGACGGTTGATTCACCTTGTCCACGGTGGCCTGTCCCCAGGTTTTGGAGCGCTGTAGCAATCGGACACTTTCTATAAGTGAGGTGGACGCTGTTACGACACAGGGTTTGTATCAACTGCTTAAGACAGCGCGAGTGTCCAATTGTCGGCTGTTTTGATGGTAATCCTACGTTGCCAAACCGGTAATGGGGTTTCTTGCGGTGGAATTCCCATCAAAACTGAAGTATATGGGATCCGATTACTTGAGACCCTCGTTGTAACCGTAGATAGAAACTTGACACCTAGCGTTGCGGCCTACGTATAAATTTCACGATCAGCGTGTTCTTATTACCCAACTGGAGTTGATCGTTTCAGTATGGATTATCTCTAACTGACTATTGCTCATTTGTGGCAGTGATGTTAAGGAGGGTTGTTCCGGCGTCCGCATAGTACTGTAATCAGAGCTGCTTATGTTCAGGTACAAAACAACCTACAAAACTAGGAACCCCGTTCTACACAATGGGAATAGGAAAGAATCAACATACAACTACCACTGGGCCTTACCCAACGCGATATACAGTGCTCAAACAATAAATTAAAACCGACCGATTGTTTCTTAATGTCATTTATGTACTTTGCAGAGGTTTCACTCATATGCAAGTAGGCACAACTATGCTCCTTGGGAAGAGCGAAAATGTGGAACATCACTCAAGTTAGGAGTAGTTGCATTCGTCCCACCCAGTCATTTCGTGGACTACTCATCGTTTCTCCAACTTAAGTTAACGTTGAGGAACAACTGTGTATAGACATGTGTGGCACATGCTCCAGAGGAGCCGATCCAATACCAGTGGTCGGCTTGAACGCCATATAATTACAAGCTCTTGGCTGCCAGCTGACTTCTGATCTAGCTGTCACCCTGATTCAATGGTCGCGCTTGATTGTGCTATTGCTGGATGCAGTAACTTGGATATCGTTTTTGGCTTTTTGGCTTTTTTAGAAGGATTGATGGCAAGCAGCGAGCACCCATTCTAAGGGAAATGTATTGTCCGGTGCTCTGGAGGTATGTTTTACCACCAGGATGAAGGTGTTCAGGTGTTTCATCCAGAAGACCAGTATTCTTACACCATATTGATGCCTAATTGCGAGAAAGGTCTGTGGGAATCGTACAACTTTGAAAAGCCGTTTGATCGCCTTACGGTCGACCGAGGCATTTCACATATCTGTTATGAACATTATACCAAAAATATAAGGTTCATCCAATAGCTTTTGGGGATGTGAGCTGCATCACGACAAACAAGCTTGCCACAGGCCATCAACTATGCCTGTCAGGTTACATACATTTCTTGTCAAATGACCCATGCTCTCGTCACAGGATGAAATAATCCAGGTGTGGTTGCGGTGGCACTTGATATCACCATGATTGGAGACCTCCTGGGCGATACGCATTAATGGTTTCCAACACTATCACACCCGAATCTGTCAAATCGTCAGTGTTGACGCTACATCGAAGCTATGGCCTCCAGTCTGTACCTTGGTAAAAGTACAACTCCGATGTCAGTGATGTCATTACTTGTAACGCACAGCTAACCACTCACCTATTCCCCTCTCATGAATGAGTAGGACTCTAATCCTACTCCAGTGTTATCTTGTGTTACTGTACACTTAGCTAGAAAACTTAGCTGGCGTAATGATCAAGGTGATCCTGTATTATAAGTTAGAAACAGCGGGTCCAGTATGACCCCAACCCGTTTTCTATGCATTCTTTAGCTCTCTTCTGTCAAGTGGAAGAGAAGAATCAAAGGCTTCAGGCTGAACATCACAACCAAACCTCTTTTTCGGCTTTGGTAACCTAGAACTATTAATGGTCTTTCGCCAGTCATAAAATACTATTTGATGCTGCAAGCTCGATTCTGTAATTATATGTGCTTCTTTAATAATTATTATCTGAATTGGTGTAGTCCACACCAATTAGTGGTTCCTTTCTTTGAAGAGTTATACTGAGAATGGTTTGATTATGGCCTTTAAATGAAACAGTTAACTGAATAACCACCTATTTTCTTGGTTCCAGCCGTTCCATTCTGGCTCGTTGTAGCCCTCAACGCCTTCGAGATCTTGCTCTTTGTCTTCCTGGATTCGAAGCCTGTTTGTTCAATCTTTTTCAGACCTCGAACCCGTTGGACGTGAGTCCTGAAAATCCTATCGAATTAGTAATTTATCCTGATTGGTACGGTTCGTTATCTAGTTTTTCATTTTGAGGGTCTTTCATCCGCCGGTGATTGATAACGTTGATGGGGACACATTAACTATTTGGTTTCTTTATCTCATGTCTGCCGAGCTTTAGATTGCTCAGTAGCTAACACGCAAACCTACTAACTAACTTACTAGCTTGAAGGTCCATGATTCAAACCCGACCCCCACATCTCGGCTGCTCCTGTACAGTCTTGGGCAATCTGACAGCATCTCAGTCCTTGTGCTTTCTTCGGGTGGTATAGCAGCTAGGCACCGAAATGGTGTAACGGCTGAACCGTCGTCATCATCATCACCATCTCATGTCCACCGTCTTCTGAACCAGTGACCTCCAAACCGCAGTAACCATAAGGTTTCACCTTCCTTTCGGCCTCTGCATATACCTGTCACATAAGTTTTTTTTAAGCAGAACGTGCTGTTTTCGCCTGGACTTGCTTTGTATGTAGTTGTGATTTCTATCGGGATTGAAAGCAAGCGATTCTCACTAACAGCTGCATTCGTGTGGTCCGTCGCTCTTGTGAAACTGCGTCGAGTCCCCGAGCGTATTCTGTGAGTTTTAGCTTTCGTTCAAACTCAGTAGTGCTTTGGATGGATTACGAACGTCATAAAGTGACTCAACACCTCACGAGTGAGATGGTTGTCCTCAAAGTTCGACTCCGTATTTGATAGTTCAACTATTATTTTATTTGCTTTAGATTCGATTTGGATGCAGTTCATTAGAACATGGTGATTTAGTATTTTTAACCGCCATTGTTTGGTTCATTTATGATATTTGACTTGATGGCTACTTGATGAAAGTTACAGCCAGCATCTTCATTTCTTGAATCCGTTTTTACTACGCAGTGCTTGAGCGTTGTTTTTGTTGGCTGGTAGTAGAGAATATCTTGGATTCTTGAATGCCATTTACTGGGGGGAGGTCACTGTTAACCCCAACCGTTGCGGCATAATGCTGCAGATACTCCACCTGACGTCGAACTACTTGGTCCGCAGCTGATCTACAGGGTCACACAGTGAAACAGAAAGCGGATGACGTTGTGTTCGGACCTTGCTGCCTATCGTACTTCATACGCAGCTGCAGCGATCCAGGATATTCTTGAAGCTGGCTCTTCCTTCTCCAAGAGCAAGCCGTCGTAATGTAAAGTAAGAATAGGACGTAAACCGTGTGTGATGAGCCGTATCTTATTACGGTAGTTTACTAACCGGCATTTCCACGAACGGCGCTTTGCTGATCTCTTTTTCTCCAAAATCACTAGTTGCTTTATTTGACTGAATCTCGTCACACGAAGCTATAAATACCGTAAGAGTAAGGACAATATGCACACACTACAAAATGTTTGGGATTGCCTTGGCTTCAGATGCTGAATGATTGGTTGCTTCGCGACAACATAGCAGATGGGTCTTTAACTTACTGACATCTGAACAGGAACGGGACGCGTCGTTTGGGTCCAGATTCTCCGGACGCTTTTCGGCACTTCAGGAAGCCTGTGACTGAATTTTAGTAGGTACCGCCCTCCCCTACAGCACTTTAATCCGTTCGTAGCAGGCGTTTTCGAGATTAAATTTTCTTGCGTCTACAGTAGTGAAGTCTTCGTTGACTGTAGGACCGTCTTCGTTGCGTATGATGTGGGTTTTTTTATCCTGGCTATGACAGGACTTCGATGTGTTTATCGAAATCTCCTTGGATTTCTGGATGGCTAGAGACTCCAGAAAATTTGACTGTTCTTACAACAACATTTTAATAATTGTATGTTTATATATGCTCCATTTTCAGACCGGTGATGATTGTCCATCTACTGAGGTCCTGTGCACTCTAGTTGGTTGTCTTGCGAACTCCCTCCCTTGTGGACCGAAGTTACTGGCAATGGTCGAAAATCTTGCAGCTTTGGAACCTAACGGTCTTTGGAGTGATGTCTGTCGTTTATTGTCCGAAAACCGTTGTTTGTGAAAATAATCATTCGCTTCTTAGATGGCCTGAAAATGCCGCATTTCTTCATGTCGTGATGGTCAGTAGAAGTGAAATACTATAATGGATTGATTGTCGCCTCTTTTTCCTGTCTCCACTCTATGACTATTGAAGCGTTATTGACACACACCAGCATTTACACTTGCATTTGAACATCGGTATTCATCACTGATGTTGGTGATCGTGGAACTAAATATTTTAGTTTTTTATTGTTGATACAACCATGTTCTCTTTTCATCGAATGATCCTTATTGTCGGTTCAGTATAGTAGATTATTTTACAGACGGATTGTTCGTTGTTTCTTGTTTCAACGCTAGTAAGGTAACTGTTGATTTATTCAGTTTGCAGAGTTGGTTTTGAAGGCTATATATCACGTTGGAAAAAACCGTCCGCTCTGGTACAAGAGAAGTTTCTTGAACTTTCATCCGACCAATCTGCCTTTCGGACAGCCAATGAGGTGCCGTAAATATTTGTGGACGCACTCATGTCCACTGATTAAGGATAGGTACAGTGGATCGAACAGGTTGAGACTTCGGGAATGCAAGCAACATACAATAGACAGCCCATCTGCTTTACTATCCGCCTACCTTTTGTTTTCCCATAATGCGGTGCAACCTCAACAAATGGGAGCTGATTTCACGCCGAAATTGGGACGCTTCATAACAATCACCCAGGTCTGAGCTATACTGCGATACAGAAATGCGGCTGCTGAAAACTACATGAACTGAGATGACGCCTTAAGGTTGCTTCAGCTATGATTCAGAATTTGCTCAGTAACACTCATTTGTGGTTGGGTCATGTGCTCCGCATGCCGAAACACCATCTACTGAGACGAGTGTTGTTCTCCGTGCCTTCTTCAGGATGGCGCAAACCGCGTGCTGGACAGCGCATGACTTGACAGAAAGGTGTGACAGGGATCACGAAGAGTTTGGGTGATGTTGGTGTTATACACCTTCCAGGATGGGGTCCCGGTGACCCGTCTGTGCTTGGCTAGGGACGTTGCAAGAAATGGCGGGCTAATCGAGTCGGTTGCGTCCGTGCTGTCAGTTTCTTCCCATATTGTCTGATTGAGCGCTTGAAGGTGTAAACACCTCAGAATGCCTGACATAGGCCAGAACTAGGTTCCCTCCCTCACCCACTCTTTTTCTCTTCTTTTCACTGTAGGGCTTTTAATATAATTATATATATA